GAAGAAAAACGAAACGTTCAAAATGAGTCGCGCTTGCGTGTACGAAAAAATGGAAAAATACAGCATTTTTAAACAGAACACAGCTCAAACTCGCATGAGGTATTCTGTGTGCAAAAGACAATCGAGCGAGTTGCCAAAAATGATTTGTGAAAGCAGTGACAGATAATTGACATTGACTGAAGACTTTCGAATTATTTATATGATTCGAATCCATTTTTATGATTAAGCTTTCGAACTCGAAAATTTGTAGCTTAGAAAATAAACACGTAATGACACTCAGTCACAACCGTTGTAGCCGATTGCAGAGATTATATGAAATACATTTATTAAATGTAAGGTATCTCCTTCCTTGCAATTTCTCCCTGTCCTTTTTCCCTATCAATCATCTCATCTATGATCGATAAATTATCGCAGAACGTGATTTGCAAGAAGAAATGTGCCTGCCAGTTACGGAGGTGGAAAATTTGCGGTCATTCACAAGCAACGAGCCGAGATTAGATACCGTCGGTTGAAAAGGTGGACGATCATTGAGAGTTATGGTAATGGAACGAGGTGGATGACCCAATTTTGAAAGGACAAAAGGGACGTTCCGTTGCGCCAGGGCAAAGTGCCGACCTGTCTGCACAGCGAACAGGATCGGTTAGAAGAGAATCTTCGGAGACTACATCGAAGATTTCCATCTTTTTCTTGCTATCCTGTAAAAATAGAAATTAAAAACCAACTGAAGAAATATTATTATATATGTTAACATAATGTTCTCATGTATGTGTTGAATATATCTTCACCTGCGTGCGTGACACCATATCAGTTCTAATTGTAGAGTCTCATTAATTAATTATGTGTGTGTGTGTGTGTGTGTGTGTGTGTGTGTGCGTGTGCGTGTGCGTGTGCGTGTGCGAGGTCCCACAAGATTTACATTCGTTCCTGATCTCGAGTGTCGCAGCGTGTGCTCGACAGCGATATCCGTATATGTTATTTCACACCGGCGAGATAGAAAAGGACCCTCGGGATGAAGAAACGCGGAGGTGTGGGCACTCTGAGTTACGGTATGCCGAAGCATGTTATTTCAAAACGCTCATCCGTGAGTTGATTTGTTCTGGCAAAATCGCTCTCTCGCTGCATTAGCAAACTAACTTTTGTTTATTGATAATTTCGAGAGCAAGAAAGAGAGAGAGAGAGAGAGAGAGAGAGAGAGAGAAGACAAGTCAGTTCGCGGCATAAAACTGCCCATCGAGGTCTGCTCGTTAATAGAAAGAATTGGTATCAAGAAAATCGTCCAACCTCTTATCTGGCTGTAAAAAAAAAAAAGAAAAGATATTAAAAGGACAAATATATCGCGGGCAAATTTCTTTCTCGTTACTTTTCACAATCCATTAAATAATTAACTTGTGTGTATTCGGATAGAGTAGCGCGCAACTTGGTTGACACGTATTTCGCTATACAAATGTCTAACTAAATTGGAAGTACGGTAAATAGATTTCATTGTATGAGATGAGGTAATAGTCAGGTATTCGGAGTCGCGGGAATGGAATGAAGTGGATGACCTAATTTGCGAAGAACAAAAGCTCAGCCACACAAACTCGACGCATCAAGGAATGGCACCAACCGCGGTTTCGACAAGGTCGCTCGGCGCTGACCTTGACGGGCTACTTCGTGCAGGAGACACGGAGGGACATTGACGATGTGACGGTCGCTTAGCGAAAAATATATCGTCATATATTTCGATCGATTACCATCAAATACAAAAAGTTAAAATTTATTCTTACTTATTCGTAAAATTCTATCTCGTGTCGCGTGCATACATACATAGAATAACGAAAGTATTTCTAATTAATCAGACATTAGAAAGTCGAATTGTAAAATTTACACAATATACATGTGCACGAAGCGATAAAGTATATTATTTACAATAAATGACCTCAACAATTCGTACTTTCTGATCGTAGAACAGCGTCTTAACTAGTCGTCATGGCTCAGTTTATACATCGTACTCGTTGCAAAATTCAATCTCGTGATATGTCTCGGCTATCCAGCCCAGGAAATACTTGATTTTTTCCGTTGCCTCATCGGTAGCTTTGTAGCCTTCGATAGCCTCGGTGAGACATTTTGATAAAAGTTTTAACAAAGGCTGCGAACAAGAGGCTTGATATTAATCGCGAAGATACGCGGTAGAGTAGTGCTCGATTCGACACAAAGGAAGACAGAACAATAGGATACTTGAATAATTTGTAAAAGTATCGAGTAAAAGTAGAAAAAATTATAAAGCGTCTTATATATATATATTTAAGTATATGTAGTTTAAGTATATGTATATTTTATATCCAAAATACATTTTTGTCCTTTTTAGTTTTTATTTAACGATTCGTGCCATATTGCGTACACTTACCACAGGCCAGTCCTGTCTGAACAAGGCTACACACTGATCACTTAGACTGTCTCCATCGAGTATTTCGGCTTCTAATAACCTCCTTAAAAATTTACCGTAGATCGGCCACATTATATCGTTTTCCGGTTGCGCAAACAACATCATATTTCGAGGACAAAATAGCCTATGCATGGGTGAGTCGTCTTGGTCGTCTTTCAAACAATCCAACGACCATATCTTGATTAATTTATCTTGTACCTCTCGTGCAAAGAGGTCCGATCTGTATGCAACTGAAAACAAGCAGCGTGATCGTAAAATTTTATAGTTTTGTAAAATTTTGTAGTTTTTTCTTCTGTACTATAGATGTACCTAAAAATAGGGAGAAGTCGATACTGAGATTATATAAGACTTTTTCCGGTCCCGGTAACAGATCAGCCCTCTGATGAACGTACAATACATTTTGTCTAAAATATCCAATACTGAAGACATAGTCATACTTTCCCCTCTATTATCTACCATGTCCCATATTATTCCTGTAAAAAGATACAAAGTAGAAATATACACCTAAATATCAATAAAACGAGGAAAATTTAAAGTTGTCAAAAGAAAAAATTATTTCTCAAGTATTAAAAGATTTAAAGTATCATCAATATTCAAAGTCTATGAAGGAATCCTTACTCTGAGTTTGTCTATCACAACAGTAGGACTAGGAGCGTCTGAACTGTGACGTTTCTCTTGCTTGGTATGCACCGGACTGTTATTCCGAAGAAATCTATTGATCTCGAGTTCCATGTCCTTGATGAATAACGAACCACCGACGATGTGCGATTGAATCCACTGATATATCCGTTCCATAGCCATCCTAGTCGTAATCTTTATGCACATCTCCTTCACCGGTGTCAAAGAGTCTTCCGCAAGTAGCGATTCTATCGCTGTTGTGACTCGCGTCTCGCAAATCATCGGAATCGTTTTTTCGCACTGCTCCTTCAACTCTTTCGACACGTTATTGGCCAAAGTATTCATGTCATTCGCAAGAAGATCCTGAATATAAAGGATATTAAATGTGACACATTTGTAACAAAAGTTACGATATTACGTTGTAAGAGTACACTGCAAAACAAGAATTGTCCTTTGGTCTAAGTAAATTTTTACCTTAAATTCCTTAATATAATTCATAGAAGATTCGCTTTGCGTTTCAGAATCTCTCTCAATGTGCATTTGTTTCAAGATTTTTCGGAAAGAATTCAAATTAGCTTCTCGCGAAGAGGACAGCATCGTGTTGCATATATGCTTCACGCAAGTTGACGCAACTCTGTCGGAAACGAAATCGACGGTTTTCCGAGTGGAAGCCGGTTGGCCATGAAAAAATGCTTCTTCCAGCTGAAGCTGCGAAAATATGAAAAACAAATATTTATAAGTATAACATACGAGAAATATAACTTTAGGAACATAAAAAGCAGAGGCGTACCTCTAAATGCTTAGCACGTGTGCCGCCGTTAAGTTTGCGCAGTTGACTGGTAACTGGCGTGACATGTTTGTTGGAACTGATACTTAGATTCGTCCCAGTACCGTTTAACACAGAGATTGTCGAGTCTGTTCGCGGACAACACATGCGCATTGTTCTGTCGGTAATTATGTCCAGTTTGTCCAAATTACATTTGACGGAAATTGCACAGTCAGTGACACAATGAGAGTTCCTTTTTTGAACGGAAGATTTCTCCATTTGCTTGAGAGTTTTTAGTTCCTTGATCTTGCAAGTACTCTGCCAAATGATGTAAAAGTCTTTGGGGAAATTCGGCAATTCAAACAGCCAGCATAAACTGGATTTGAGGAGCACAACTGCTTGTTGAGAAATCAGGCAGTCAGGAGCGGAGAAATCGATATGATTGATAGCACAGTAAACGCAATAGAGTAGCTCTAAAACTTGCTTATAGTAGGGTAAACGAAGAGATACTACATCCATCATGGCTAAGTACTTCACTATCCAAGGTATCGTCAATGAGAGTTTTCCCTCGATTATAGCATTTTGAAGACATGCTTGTAAATTCAATGATGGTAAAACCTGAATAACACAATAGAAATTTAGAACTATTAGAAATTTGCTGCAGTCCACTTTTAGCATTTTATTATAATTTCTATTATATACCTTGCTTCTTATCTCCACTTGTGTCATTATTATCTCCTTAGTAGTAGATTCAGACCTGTATGGCAATGACACTAAAAGTCCTAATACTTTTGCAAGTAGCCTTAGACTGGATAAACAAGTAGTAAAGTTTTGTTGTGTTTTTTCATCAACCATCGTTTCTATATATAGAAAAAAATATAAAGAATAAAAATTAATTTCTAATTGCTCAAATGTGTATTATATATGTGGAAGAAGTCATTATTAAAACAAAAGGAAATTATAGATACCTAAGTCTTCTATTTCACTGTTAGCAAACTGGTTATCATTCAGCTCCATTATCTCATACACAAAACAATTCTCTAAATGAGAATAAAATATTGGATTGAATGCATGTAATATAAAATCTTTAAAAAATTCCTGTATGCCAGGAAATGAAGGGCCATTGTGACTTTGTGATGGCAAGGGAGTCACAAATCTTTTACTAAGTTGTGTTAATTTTTCAGGATTAACATGTTTCAACGCTTTCAAGAAATTCAAACTCTCATCATCCACCATATCATCCTATAATTAAAAAAAAAGTTACTTGATTATCTGAAAGTCTTATAAAGATGCGATAAAAAATACAAAATATCTCATACTTGATGTCCATTTTGTATACATGATATCAGCAACTGAGACTTAAATAACCTAGCAATATGATAATAATTAGTGGAATCATTGTGTAACGTTAACATAGATCGTATTTTACTGCCCAGTGCAATTTGAAACACCCATCCTGGTACTGAGTGATTTTCCTCCCAGATTCGTAATATATCATAAAAAGCATCTCTCTGTTTTCTAAAAGTTTGAAATGCAAAGGAGGATGAGAAGTTCTCACGATTGTCAGTATCAATTTGGAAACACACGTTTATTTCTCCCATTGTGTGTATATGAGCTTCAGACACTGTAGGCAGCGTACACTGTAAATAATATTGAAATAGCCTAAGTAATTGAGTAAATACGTCGCAATACTATATACTGATAGTGCTTACAATAGATTTTTAATTACCTGCACGTTAATTAAATATCTTGTTCCTCTCAATTAAATACGTCGACATCCCTCGTGAGAATGTTTTTACCCGTACATGGTTTGAAGGTTATGTTAAATTTCAAAAACATGAAATTGAAAAATATCGCTGAGAGCAAAGTCTTGTTGTCAGACAGGGAATGCAAGGTGAGGTATTACGTGATCTTTGATCGCGCACCACGCATTTTCGGTCGTTGAAATACAATTTCAGCATACAGATGCACGTCACCGCGTCTTATCTTTTTCAGACACATTAGGTTGGGTTGCGGAACAGCCGTTTGACGAGATGGCGTTTAATTCTCCAAGCCGTAACCTGAAAATCATGTGTACTTTTTTAACTGTATTCTCTGTATTTTCACGAAATATTTCTCTTTCCCTCTCAGTCTTTCTTCAAAAGGTCTCAATATCTATCTATTTCATTCCAAATATAGAAAATGTAACATAATGCAGCTAAGAAAAGGACGAATACATCCACGTTGCCCAATCCGACTTGGCGTGAGCAATTTCACTAGGCCTGTTTGTTTTGTTTGCACTGCTGCCGGTTGCGGCGCGATCTTTAAAACGTGGTCTACAATGACAGTAAAAGCCTTTGCACGTAAAAATTTCTTAAACGTAACCGTAAAGTCGCAGGTTTCCAACACGTATCATCATATGGAGCAACGCAAGTAAAAATTCGCAAACGTAAAGTCAGCGGCACATGGTGTTTGTTTTTGTGCTGGATTGCTTGCTAAATGAAAATACTGCATTCTGATTGGTATATTTCCATCCATCTTCGGAAATCTACCAATCAGAACGCAGTATTTTCATTTAGCAAGCAATCCAGCACGAAAACAAGCACCGTATGCCGCTGGCTTTAGGCTACAACCGCAATCGCAAAAGTTCCGTCATGTTGGAATCTTAGGGCAAGAGCACAGGCTTTTGCATAATATATAACGCATAAGAGAATAAACCAATTAGTTTTCTTCATTTCCCTCCTCAGGATAGAAATGAAGAACTTTGATTGGTTAAGGTTCGTCTACATTAGCTGTAAGAGTAAAGCTAAGACTCCATGCATGCGGTGAGCTCCGGCAAACGGCTGCGGTGACCAATCAGGAGACAGACGCATGCTTGCCGCAACCGGACTTGCGCCTCCCTTCTGATTGGTCATCGCAGCATTTGCCGCAGCTCACCGCATGCATGGAGTCTTAGCTTTAGGCTGTAAGGTTGCAAGACACGAAATGAAATATTTTCATTCGCTGACAGCTTACGTTACAGCCTTACAGCCTTACTCTTACAGCTATTGTAGACGAGCCTTTATGCGTTGTGTATTATGCAAAAGCCTGTGCCATAAGATTAACATCTTACGATCAGCCAATAGGAAAGCCAATAAGATCAGCCAATCACATATTGCCTATATTTTACTTAGCGGTAATTTTGTTTAATAGCAATCTTTATGCGTCATGGACATATCAGAAGCTATTATCAGAGAGAAGCCTGAGAGCGACCACGCGGCGGCGTTTTTGGCGACATGCATTTTGATGACTGATTTTAACGCCATCTGCGCCCATTTGTAGCCAGGAACTACGTTGACTACGCCCATTTGCAGACGCTGCCGGTAAAGTCTCTATTTGGTGCGTGTCCGTTCTACGCCCATTTACTGGCGGTTCGTGTCTGTGGTACACCTATAATTGCGGGTTTGAGAAACACGGCATCGCGCACCAACTTACACCTCGTTCGACAGCACATGATTCTTTTTCTGTACATATGTATTTCTATACATATTTTTGTAAAAAATTGCATCTTCTAATTATTATCCGAATTATTATCTCTTGTTACATTCGTAATTCGTAACAAGAGCAGGCGGTAATTCCTAGTCGACACAGAGCATTAGTTACATTACATTTATATTAAAATTTCGCACTAAACACCATGTGTGTTATATTACATTTATATTGTTGAGTGCGAAATTTTAACATAAATATAATGTTCTGTGTCGACTGGATTGTTTCATTCTCTAAATATTTTGGAAGCTTTGTTTCATGATAGTGTAGTTGTTCGAGATTCGAACGGGAAGATTTGTCTATTTCTGAAACGTTCTGGCAGAAGAGACAAGACCAAGAGAGAGACGTATGATCATGCTCCACATGACGCGTCGTGCGGCGTTATTCGCCGGACGAATTGTTCTCTTGAATGCGGCACGCGTTAAATGCGCGTTCGCACAATAATCCTTGTGAAGCACTCGCGTCCAGATATTACAAGTAGTAGTGAAAGACACAATCCTTCTCGCTCGAAAAGCTTGTCTCTCTCTCTCTCTCTTGCTAGCACGTTCGACTGCGACTGTCCGAGATCCGGCACTTCAATTTGGTGACAAAGGTGAACTCACGTCTTTTCCATGTACGAGCTTTTCTCTTAAAGGTCTATCGACTATTCGCAGACTAATTATGTTATATGTGTCATATGTTCGAAGTGGATACCGTTCTATTAATTGCTCGTCTATATTAATATTCATTTCCGAAATCTGACTTGTAAGAACAGTTGGTATGGTGTTCTCTCCGATTTCTATTTCTTCAGGGAGTTTTTCCACTTCTATATGTCTCCTTTTCTTCACTTGTTCTACATTTTCATTAACATGTTCGCTCTCGAAATTAATTGGAACTGCATCCAATTTTAAACGTTTCTTCGTGCTTGTCAGAAACGATGCATCATTGAAATGGTCTTCGCACAATCCCGCGCATCTAAGGGAGTGAGAAGACCATTTTTCTAATTTTGTATTTCCTGCAACAGAAATGAAATGAAAAACATTTTTGTGTATGTATCTGTGTGTATAATTTTCATTTATTTATTTAATATAATTTTTGTATATAAAATCATCTTTAGTTTATTTTAAAATGCTTCGTTCACATTAACTGTGTTCAACAGAAAAACTTACTATATGTTATTCGAACGAAAAACGTAAAATTTGTGAATTTCATTGATATATATCTATATAGAACTTCATTGATATATATCTATATAGAACAAATATCCAATATGCATGTCATGAATATTCTCTAGATATATGTACAGGGTGTCTTATAACTAACCTGGCAGAGCTCGTGGAGATATAGAGCGGGTTAAGACAAATATAAAAGTCCCATACCGTTTTGTGAGATTCGCAATAATTATTGAGTTATTAATGACAGAAATTAGAGGAATGAGTGCACGTCGAGACGTTATGGAAGGAGCATCTAGCCGCTCAAGCTAAAGAGCACTGCCCAGTCGACAAAGGAACTGTTGCCGGCGCGCGGCGAGAGGAAGGACAATGCGTCAATGTTTATGTCCTTACCTCGCTGCTCCTACATCCCGCCGCACCGCGTCTAAGCTCGCGCCGATATGGTCGCTGAATATTCGCGATTACAATTATGAGATTATTTTATGAGGTACCACAGATAGCTCATATTGAATTGTAAAGTTCAAGATTCAAAAGTTCTTTGATCAAGGAAAACATCGAAAAGGAGAAAGCGATAGAGAGCGATGAGATCTACAGAGATTCTCATCGTTTTTTATCGCAATCTATCGTTTTGCTGTATCGGATCCGAAAGAAATGATATCGCATAAAGATAGAGTACGATGAACACTTTTCATCGTACTCTATTGTACTCTATCGTTAGGAGAACATTTAATTGTTAGAGTATGATAGAATTCGCGTAGACTCATCGTGTCCTATCGTTTTATTCAAGTCTACACGGAAAATATGTTTGGTTGAATGAACCTATTTTCTGACGAAATGAGAGAGAGAAAGAGAGAGAGAGAGAGAGAGAGAGAGAGAGAGAACGATTAAGAAATTTTGATTGAGAATAGCACAATTTTGTTTAAGTTAACCATAAACCTTGATGAATTAGATTCAGTGTTAATATTTTCAGTTAATATTTCTCTGTATCGTTCATATTTCATTTGCAAGCTGTATCATGGATCAAACATTTTTACCATATATCATGCATAAATTGTTGTCTTATATCGTAATTCTTGTCAGTGGTATATTAACGACAGAAGGAACTGAAAGTTCTGTATCGTATGCGAAAAGAACCATCGTTGTCAATGGTGCACCAACGATACTCGCATAAAATTGATTCCTAGTATAATCGCGATACAACGCAAATCCGAGTGTGTTATTTTGACACGTTATTTTTATGCAGTTCCTTCTGTCGTTAATATACCACTGACAAGAATTACGATATAAGACAACAATTTATGCATGATATATGGTAAAAATGTTTGATCCATGATACAGCTTGCAAATGAAATATGAACGATACAGAGAAATATTAACTGAAAATATTAACACTGAATCTAATTCATCAAGGTTTATGGTTAACTTAAACAAAATTGTGCTATTCTCAATCAAAATTTCTTAATCGTTCTCTCTCTCTCTCTCTCTCTCTCTCTCTCTCTCTCTCTCTTTCTTTCTCTCTCTCATTTCGTCAGAAAATAGGTTCATTCAACCAAACATATTTTCCGTGTAGACTTGAATAAAACGATGAGGACACGATGAGTCTACGCGAATTCTATCATACTCTAACAATTAAATGTTCTCCTAACGATAGAGTACAATAGAGTACGATGAAAAGTGTTCATCGTACTCTATCTTTATGCGATATCATTTCTTTCGGATCCGATACAGCAAAACGATAGATTGCGATAAAAAACGATGAGAATCTCTGTAGATCTCATCGCTCTCTATCGCTTTCTCCTTTTCGATGTTTTCCTTGATCAAAGAACTTTTGAATCTTGAACTTTACAATTCAATATGAGCTATCTGTGGTACCTCATAAAATAATCTCATAATTGTAATCGCGAATATTCAGCGACCATATCGGCGCGAGCTTAGACGCGGTGCGGCGGGATGTAGGAGCAGCGAGGTAAGGACATAAACATTGACGCATTGTCCTTCCTCTCGCCGCGCGCCGGCAACAGTTCCTTTGTCGACTGGGCAGTGCTCTTTAGCTTGAGCGGCTAGATGCTCCTCCCATAACGTCTCGACGTGCACTCATTCCTCTAATTTCTGTCATTAATAACTCAATAATTATTGCGAATCTCACAAAACGGTATGGGACTTTTATATTTGTCTTAACCCGCTCTATATCTCCACGAGCTCTGCCAGGTTAGTTATAAGACACCCTGTATATAGGATATCCATTGGATGTATTTTGGATATTTGTTCAGTATGGGCAGACTTCGGTAACTCATGAAGCAGCCGCAGTGTACAAATAGAATGGGTGAAAATAATAAAACAGGCTATACCATTTTGTAATTTTCTCAACATTTACTCTGTAATTAATTAAAATGTATAAGCGAATGAGCGCACGAGAAGAGATACAACGAGCTCTGAAAAACGTTTACTTCTTAGCAACGATAAGTAACAACTCATTACGGAGATACGCGGCCGTGTGTTACATGCAAATGACATGCAAAGTAGAATTCACGACGAAATCTCGTGAATGCGAAATAATATTTTTGAATACATTTTATGCTGGAATATTATTATTATAATCAAAGCCGCAAGGATGAGATATGAATTAAGAAATAAATAAATTATTATTATATAATTTCATATTTTATTTTCCATTTTTTTTTTACAAAAGAAACTCTGTATGTATCATCTTATTACTATATATTTATATATCGATATAAATCGTATATCAGTTTCTTGATCGTCATTCG